TTCCTTCGTTCCTTTCTTTCTTTCATTCGTTCCTGCTATTCTTTTCTTTCTTTCTTTCTTTCTTTCTTTCCTTCCTTTCTTCCTTCCTATTGTTCTTTCTTTCCTTCTTTCCTTCCTTCCTTCCTTCCTGTTGTTCTTTCTTTCTTTCTTTCTTTCTTTCTTTCTTTCTTTCTTTCTTTCCTGTTGTTCTTTCTTTCTTTCCTTCCTTCCTTCCTTCCTTCCTTTCCTTCTTTCTTTCTTTCTTTCTTTCTTGTTGTTCTTTCTTTCTTTCCTGTTGTTCTTTTTTTCTTTCCTTCCTGTTGTTCTTTCTTTCTTTCCTGTTGTTCTTTCTTTCTTTCCTGTTGTTCTTTCTTTCTTTCTTTCTTTACTTCCTTCCTTTCTTTCTTTCTTTCTTTCTTTCTTCCTTTCCTTCCTTCATTTCTTTCTTTCTTTCTTTCTTTCCTGTTGTTCTTTCTTTCTTTCCTGTTGTTCTTTCTTTCTTTCTTTCTTTCTTTCTTTCTTTCTTTCTTTCTTTCTTTACTTCATTCCTTTCTTTCTTTCTTTCTTCCTTTCCTTCCTTCCTTTCTTTCTTTCTTTCTTTCCTGTTGTTCTTTCTTTCTTTCCTGTTGTTCTTTCTTTCTTTCCTTCCTTCCTTCCTTCGTTCCTTTTTTTCTTTCATTCGTTCCTGCTGTTCTTTTCTTTCTTTCTTTTCTTTCTTTTTCTTTCTTTCTTTCCTTCCTTTCTTCCTTCCTGTTGTTCTTTCTTTCCTTCTTTCCTTCTTTCCTTCCTTCCTTCCTGTTGTTCTTTCTCTCTTTCTTTCTTTCATTCTTTCTTTCTTTCCTGTTGTTCTTTCTTTCTTTCTTTCTTTCCTTCCTTCCGTCCTTCCTTCCTTCCTTCCTTTCCTTCTTTCTTTCTTTCTTTCCTGTTGTTCTTTCTTTCTTAACTGTTGTTCTTTCTTTCTTTCCTTCCTGTTGTTCTTTCTTTCTTTCCTGTTGTTCTTTCATTCTTTCCTTCCTGTTGTTTTTTTTTCTTTCTTTCTTTCTTTCCTGTTGTTCTTTCTTTCTTTCTTTCTTTCCTTCCTTTCTTTCTTTCTTTCTTCCTTTCCTTCCTTCCTTCCTTCTTTTCTTTCTTTCATTCGTTCCTGCTATTCTTTCTTTCTTTCTTTCTTTCTTTCTTCCTTCCTGTTGTTCTTTCTTTCCTTCTTTCCTTCTTTCCTTCCTTCCTTACTGTTGTTCTTTCTTTCTTTCTTTCTTTCTTTCTTTCTTTCTTTCTTTCTTTCTTTCCTGTTGTTCTTTCTTTCTTTCCTTCCTTCCTTCCTTCCTTCCTTTCCTTCTTTCTTTCTTTCTTTCTTTCCTGTTGTTCTTTCTTTCTTTCCTGTTGTTCTTTCTTTCTTTCTTTCTTTCTTTCTTTCTTTCCTGTTGTTCTTTCTTTCTTTCTTTCTTTCTTTCTTTCCTTCCTTTCTTTCTTTCTTTCTTTCTTTCTTCCTTTCCTTCCTTTCTTCCTTCCTGTTGTTCTTTCTTTCCTTCCTTTCTTTCTTTCTTTCTTTCTTTGCTGTTGTTCTTTCTTTCTTTCCTGTTGTTCTTTCTTTCTTTCCTTCCTTCCTTCCTTCGTTCCTTTCTTTCTTTCATTCGTTCCTGCTATTCTTTCTTTCTTTCTTTCTTTCCTTCCTTCCTTTCTTCCTTCCTGTTCTTCTTTCTTTCCTTCTTTCCTTCTTTCCTTCCTTCCTTCCTTCCTTCCTTCCTGTTGTTCTTTCTCTCTTTCTTTCTTTCTTTCTTTCTTTCTTTCTTTCCTATTTTTCTTTCTTTCTTTCTTTCCTTCCTTCCTTCCTTCCTTCCTTTCCTTCTTTCTTTCTTTCTTTCTTTCTTTCCTGTTTTTCTTTCTTTCTTTCCTGTTGTTCTTTCTTTCTTTTCTTCCTGTTGTTCTTCCTTTCTTTCTTTCTTTCTTTCTTTCTTTCTTTCCTGTTGTTCTTTCTTTCTTTCTTTCTTTCTTCCTTTCCTTCCTTCCTTCCTTCCTTTCTTTCTTTCTTTCCTGTTGTTCTTTCTTTCTTTCCTGTTGTTCTTTCTTTCTTTCCTTCCTTCCTTCCTTCGTTCCTTTCTTTCTTTCATTCGTTCCTGCTATTCTTTCTTTCTTTCTTTCTTTCTTTCTTTCTTTCCCTAAAACCAAACAGCGCTTTTTATATATATTTGTCTATCTTTGCAATCAAACAGGAATCGTTTTTCAGGTATAATACCAGAAATAAGCAACGTTCAATTTAGTCAGTCAATTAAGTTCCATACATAATTACACGCCTGGGCGACCATGCCCCTTTCAATTCATGACTGATTAGGCAGAGTTTCCCGCAGTATGTAGCCATTTCTTTCTCCGGTAGACTGGTTGTCAACCAAGGCTATAGAAACCAATCTGTTCTGTTATTCAATCGATAGATTAGAATTGGATTCATTGCTTTCTCAAGTCCATTTGCGCGTACGTATCGAAACCGGCTTGAATTCGAACTCGTCTCTCCGATTTCGTATTCCGAGCTACGATTTATTACACCACAAAGAGTTTCATTACCGGATTTGTTCTTTTTGTTTGTTTGTTTTTGTTTTTTGTTTGTTTGTTTTTTTTTTGTTTTGTTTTTTGATATAGCGATATTATTAAGATTTACAAAATCTCTGGTCAATTTAACACGGTTTAAAAATGTACATACTTAAAAAAAAATTACAATAATTTATCACATTATGATTATATAAACCGTTTCGGAATCATGATAGACGATACGATAATGCTTGCAAAGCTAATTACATCCGATATATAAAGTTCAATGTTTGTGTGTGCGTCCTTGACGCTATGAAAATGAATCAACTATATAAACTTGCTTGCTTGTCCGCGTGTATTAATTGTAGAATTATGACAGCAAACAAAAGTGGTTTTATTATTTATATATACGAGCATATATATATATATATATATATATATATATATATATCAAATATATAATTTTGTATACAGAATTTTTACCAACAATTACTATTCTTAAAAAAGTATTCAATATTTTAAAAGCAGATATAAATTTTTTTTAAATTTTATAACATAGTATATTATATTTTTTTTAAATAGTTATATGCTCTAATTCATTAAACACTCTTTTAAGATTGTGTGTTAGTTAATTATATTCACCAATTATATACTTGGATATTAGCTCCCATTACTGTCGACCCTGTCTATTCTATTCTTATACTATGTTAAAAATTTTTTTTAAATAAATATATATATATATATATATATATATATATATATATATATATATATATATACACGTTTCATTAAATAATATAGACAAGTGTTGTCTATTTATTTTATGTAAATTCTTTTCATAACGTCTGATAAGCTTAATAACATTATTATTAAACGAAGAAAATCACAATATTGATAGATATTTTTTAATCCAATCTAAGCTTTCGGCTTACATAAGCCATTATCACAGATGTCAATTACTGTACAACATATTAAGCAATATACGGACAAGACAGTGATGATAGTCTGTGATTGTTTACATAGATGATTTCCTGGCAACGATAAACACGTGCATATAAGACGCTAGAAGCGAAAATCGCACCGCATCTCATGATGTCACACATGACCACGCGAGAGTGAATTCGAGAAGTATGAAGTATGGGAAACCGTTGGTATAAACCAATGGCTTCTGTTACCAATTATAGACATTTAAGAATATTTGTAGAGATTCCATAGTTGATTTTGTTTAGGTTGGGTTTTAGCAGTTTGATGTATATAGCTTCAAGGATTTTTAGTTTTTGTCTATTGTTTTCATGTCGAAGTATAATTGTGTTTTCGACAATTTTACGGAATTGTGTGTGCGAGCAGGCATGTTGTTTTAAATGCCTAAAAATGTTAGAGTTTTCATTCAAATGTAGTGTCAAGCGTTGTGAAAGCGAGTTTGTGGTGTGACCAACATAAATATTATTTAATTCGTTGGAGATACACTCTCCCAAAGGGCACTTGAATTTATAAACTATGTTGGTTTTTGCAAATCGCTAACCAGGGAGAAAGAATATTTGCGAAGAATTAAGTTGGATATACTAGATTTAGTGTAGTATATGATTAACTTAATTTTTTTGCTAGGATCTGTTGTTGATATATTATTATTTACTAATTTTTTTTAGTATATTTTCATCTTGTTTACATAAAATAAATAGACAACACTTGTCACTATATTATTTAATGAAACGTGTATGAATGAAAAGATGCTGCTTAAAAACACACTATATATATATATATATATATATATATATATATATATGTGTGTGTGTGTGTGTGTGTGTGTGTGTGTGTTGTGTGTGTGATATCTTATCCGACTTGCCTTACGGACATATCACATTGAGACAAGTTTCGCTCAGTGTTAATCACATGCTTTTTATTTCCGCCTATAGCAGATTGCGAGGCCTTCTTCTATGTGAAGACTTACGGCCACATCAACGTTAAGCAGAGTCAAGCCCGGTCAGTACCTAGATGCGTGACCACTGGTATGAATCTACCTCTCTTCCCTCCAGATATGGGTTAAATACTAAAAATTGTATCACTAAATCAGTATTATCTCACCCACTCCATAAAAATAATTAAATTTTGATAGATTTAATAAATAATTCGAATTCATTTCTTTAGTAAAATAATTTTTAGGAAATTTCTATATATTCATTTAGTATTTGTTGTATCACGCTCTATGTAACCATTAGTGTGAATTAAATTCTTGGCTTTTTTAATAAATAATCCTAATTTATTACTAAAGTACAATGGCTTTTTTAGTATTATAATTCTCAGTGAATTTCTATCTGTGGGTTAGTTAGTAGGTCTTGTATCCCGAAACCTTTGTTATCTCCCTCCTCTAAATATTCTAATAATCTAAAACTATTTTCTGGCATTAAATAACCTGCAACGGGTTGATAATCCATAAAATATCAGTTAATCAGTCAACAATAAACATAAATTATTTTCTTTTCAGTGTACATAAGAAGTTTAAGTTTATTCCTACAAATCAAACATTATGCAATGAAAAATTCAGATCGGAATCCGAATAAGTACGTGGCAGTGTTTCAAAAAAAAAACAAAAAACAGTGTGCCGAAGTGCAGTGACATCCCCCGAGATGAAATTAGGTGTGCCTCGAATGAGCAAGATTATATCTGAAAATGTGTAAAATCCAAACTGAATTTCCTAATAACGTTCATATATAACACAATCAGCAGCAAAAAGACATCTGCATTGCAATGATGATAAAATAGATTAATTTATTCAAGCAATATTTACTGTGCAACATAATCTTCTTTATTTTTTTTTTCAAAGCATTTACAGATGAAATTAGGCGTGGTGCAAAAGAGATGTTTATCTTTTAAAATTAATATCATAAGGATGGGCAACAATGGGTTGGCCTGATCACTACAGACCGTCTAAAATTATTATGTAAATCACATAAACCTCAATAACTTGAATTTGCTTTGAAATTTTAAACGAAAGTCTTTTAAATTGTTTTGTTAACTTTACGTCTGATTGACCTACCCCACCACTTCAACAAATAAAACGTCATACTTGGCTACAATGACGATATATTTATCGCTACCATATTCTTCACAATCGTCAATGATGACATGTCTATGTGCCGTTTATCGTGACAGGAAAAACTAACTCATGCACCTCCACCCTCAGACCTTATTTTTCTGTTTAGCGCACATCTGGTTAATCAAGACATACCTACAAGTATATTTTTTTTAATTTCTGACCTTATGTCTACCTTTAACTTTCAGAAAAGAGCTAACGATTTGTTTATAATTTTTCCTAAAAAAATCATTTTATCACCAGTCACCAACCATCGCCTGAGGAAGTACACTCATAGTATTGAAACATGAAAGATTTTGGGTAGCAATTAAAAATGCTTTTATTATAATCTCTTA